TTTCCGGAAAGAGTTCTCCCTGGGTTTTCTGGCACCCTTGCCCTTCTTCCATCCCCCCCCCCCCCATCCCCCATTCAACAGCCAGACCCAAAAGAGTTTTCAGCCAAAACTTGAGACCCCATGCATTTCCCGATTGGGGCTGAAGGACCTTTCCGTCCCCTTTCAAATTTCCAATCGGTTACTTCTAATACACATGATGCATTGGGCCCCTCTCTGACGCCGAGGGTCCTCTGACCGGGAGGGTTGACCCTTCGATCAACGCAGGGCCGCTCACGGACCCAAAAAGGTCCTAAGCGTAGCGGGTTTGATAAATAGCACAGGGATCCCAAATCGACGCATTTGAGCCCTAGAGAAAACGGGCAGAGGACCCCGTCCGGTGCTGGTTCCTGACTGGCACGAGGCTCTTCCATTAAGGCGCCCGTCAAGGAGGAAAAGGGGGGGGGGGGCTCAGGTCCGGTACGAGCGAGATCCCGGGATGTCCGACATGTCCGGATGTCCGGTCCACCGGGATGACTACCGCGGCGAACCAAGTGAAACCGAGTCAGAGGTCTCGCGCTCTGACGCGAATATGACGGCGTGTCCGACTGAGCTGGCAAGGTTTCGACAGCGGACGGGCTACCCCACGGGCAGGCCTCGCGCGCGTGTGCCGCGATTCCGTTCTCGGGCGAGGGACGGCGCGCGCGTGAATGCGTTCTTTATTTGGCGGCCGGGCTGCCTCGTCCGCCGGCCCGCCGCGAGCGCGGCTGCCGACCGGACGGACCGTCGAGCTGGGCAGCCTCTTGGCTGGTCTATGTCCGGCCTCCGCGTCCAACCGATTGCACATTATTATTCCCACATATATGCAGTCATTGAGCGGAAGCATTGTCTGCAAATTTGGCGGGCGGCGGTTCGTTTGTCGGGACGGTCTGTAATACCGATCGAGGCTTTACGTCTCACCGGCTGCAATGGCTATTTCGAGGCGGGGCGCCTCTATTAAGTATTCATCAGGCATTAGATGCGTGAGATGCGGTACTGCCGTGGCCAGCACTCCATCCCAGTATAGAAAACCCCAGAGATGAGCGCCCTTACAACTAACCGCCATGCTACGATCGCTCCTCTGCGGCGCGAACAGCACCCGTGTCGATAAACTCCAGACTGGTGTTGCTTGAGCCCAAATTTTATATTTAGGAGGTTCTGAGGAGTGAAAGGAAGAAGGCTCGTCAAAATTGATGAAGTGGATGGCAAACAGGCAAACACAGGCTCACGATTCTCCAAATTCATTCAGCTTATGTGTCGCAAACGAGCTCAGCGACATATAATCGCTCCGCTGTTGAGATGGTGAACCAACAGTGCCTTTGAGCGCTGTTGTACAACAGTTGTACAACAGTGCCTTGGAGCGCTGTACAACACCTGCTGTTGAGATGGTGAACCAACAGTGCCTTTGAGCGCGGCGCGTGCGTAGCTTTTTGCGTGGCGTCTGGCAGGCAGTTGAATACATTCGCATTCAGCGTTTGCTTTTTTGCTTCCCAGTTGCTTGCAACCAGGAGTGCGGTTCCCTTTTCAGTTGCAGGGGTCTCATCTCCCTGCCCTAACTTGGTTGCAGCCCGCAGATTTGTGAAAAAAGTGGGCCAAAATCGGAGAGGAACCAATTAGTTGGCATATTGCCACGGGACTCTTCGTTGTATTTTGATTGTTCAGCCTACTGACTTAGTTTGGTAAACCAAGCAAGTTTAAAACGTACCTAATGGAAAAACCAATTGTTTATAGGCTGGGCCATTGAACGTGTCTCACCAGGGAGTAGTATCCGGATTCAGCTGATGAGACAGCCCCCACCCCCTCTCTTTGAGAGTAAAGACATGTATAACTCAGAATACGTCCCATTTGCAGGACCGAGTGAAAGAATTTGCAATTGCGGGAAGGAGGGAAATCAGCCAAATAGAATCACTAACAACGTAGGTTAGCGTGCCAGGAGCTTGACATTTATTTGCGCACCTACCTGGAGCAGACATCAAATCAGTCCGCCTTACACATCAGTCATCAATTTCTTCAAAAAAAAAACATCACCAACACACACAGTAAATAACGGAACCAAATACCGCGGAAAACTTTATCCATAGCCCACAGTACTAAACAGTAGGCACCCCGACAACTACTTTCCACGATCACCGTGCAGCTACTGCCGAGTAACCAGCTATTTCCGATGCCACGAGCCAGGGATCAAAGTTTTGAATTCTTAATTCGCCTGCTGCCAAGGGCGTGCTGATACGGCAAAGTTTGTGCGCTCAAACAAAACGTTGTCCATATCCATGCAGAGTGGTTTAACTGGGCAGCACTGTACCGCATGACGTCACTCGTCGGCTGAGGCGGGCGAATTCGGCTCCGGCAGCCCTCTATCGGGCAATATCCGAACCACTAGGTGAAGGGTTGCGAGGAAGTGGGACGGTATCTCATCCCGTCGATCCCACACAAGCTGGAATTTATGAACACTGGACTTTATGAACGCTGGACGCTGCGAGCCTGGATGGTTTCTGGATGTTGTGAACGCTGGATGCTGCGATTCTGGACTTTTTGGGCACTGGACTTCATGAACTCTGGACATTTCAATACGCATCCATATGATCAACCCAACAGTTCAGCGGGACGTTCTCAGGAACGAGTCGTTCTTGAGAACAGGTTCCAGAGAAGTTGATTACGTGATGCAAACATGATCGCAAGAGACGACATAAGAAACATCGAAACTCTGAAGTGCCTCCTGACCCGTTACTCTTTACGTAAGATAAGGACGTTGATGTCGAGTCATGAAGAAGTATTGGCACTGATAGCATCTTTTGCCTTCAACGTCTGTCTGTTTTCCTTAACGATGTGGGTGAATAGCTTTGGATGCACTTCCCAAAATAGAATGCATCATAAGGAATGCTATAGGCTTGAAACACCAATTCATGATAATCTTGTTTCAGCAAAACAGGCGAGAACATCAACAATGATAAAGGAGAACATATCAGATCGGGTGTTACAATCACAATATTGTGCTGTATTAAAAAAACATCTTTACCAAACGGAGAAATTGTGTTGTGCCGCATCTGAGGTTGTTTCATTAGTTGGTGTGTTTAAGAATGGATGCGCACACTTGGAGTATCATATATGATGTGAGATGATTGTTCCAGTTATTCAGAAGGCGTGCTAGATGAGTGTCGTCCTGCGTCTGTGAACTGGGTGCCGCTGAAAATGGCCTAGTGGTATGTGTAGGTATGTTACTCCTAACCTTAAATCTAGAAATGCTAGGTAATGTGCTCATGCCTTTAGGTTATTGAATCCAGCCACTGCGATGTAGCGGTGTCTGTGAGTTACTGGCCAAAATATTCGTGATATGAGTAAATATGTGATGAGCCATGTTTGTTCTGATCTTGATGTAAAACTGCATTTCCGACTGGCACCAAGCTGTGTTAAGCACCTAAGCACCCACTGGCTTATGCCGACCTGTTGCACATTAGTATCAAATGGAAATGAACAACTTTCTTATATCTAACATTCTCAGATGAACCAAATTTGTTGTTCAGATTTCAAGGAGTCCCTAATGTGGAAACGGATTAGCACGGATTCAAGTGAAATATTTTTGCCTGGTAAGGCGAACAGGACCGCATTGTATTGAGATGTGTGAAAAAGGCGGATTCGCGGGCGGATTAGATCTGGATTATTCGGACTAGTTTGGACCGTATAATCCGGATCCTAAAAATGTGATTTATGGGTCCTCTTGTTACCACCGTACACTTACATTATATATTGGTGCCATCCTGTCACTGCATTTCCTCATGCGCGTGCTTACATGCCGATAATTTTGTTTTAATTGCAAGCCTGCCCATGTACACTTCGACGAAGCTGATTGTTACACACAGAAATGACTAGTTTCCGCTAAACATGTAACTTAGTGGCATCGATTGCCATCGAGTAGCACATTAATTGCAAGTTATGTGATGTGACTTGAAATCATTGCTGACATTATTGGGATGGATCGTTTAAGGCCTGCTTATTGGTTTAGAAATTTACGTCAAGGAGCTAACTGCGACGGCTGGGACGTAGTTGAATGTGCAATCATTCACGGAGTTGTCAACAGTGATGGCCATTTATTAGGATTTTCAACACCCAGGAATGTGCGACAAGGTGCGTTCTTGGCCTCAGAAAAAAGAAACACGTCGGAGTTATACGAAAAAGAGACTTCGATGAGTTTTTTCTAGTTAAATACGAGCTCTACAAGTCTAGTGTTATCCTGCGCGGTCAAGAGCAAGCTGCTAGGCGACGCAAATGTAGTTTCCGGAAACAAATTGAGACGAGCTGTTGAGACGGAAACAATTGAGACGGAAACAAATTGAGACGAGCTGTGTGGGTTCCAACAGGGAAGGGGGGGGGGGGGCAGAGAGGATAAATCCCAATTTCTCTGGATATTACGTGTACGTCTACGTGTTGACATGAAAGTAAGCCGTATTACAAACCACACAGTTCACCCAACTGCTGATCCGTGGCGGATGGTTATAGACGCCACCTGGGTTTGTAAAACGACTGAGCCAAAACCACTGCCGTCGCAGAGGCTCCCTCAGCTCCCTCGGCTCCCTCGACGCTGCAGGCAGTTGCCGTGGCAACGGCCTGTGCCGCGGCTGCACCGCAGCACACGGCGGCCCAGCTCTCCACCGTGCCGCCCCGCCGGTCACGTGACCAGCGGCGTTCCACCGCGCGTGACGACGCGGCGGCGTGACTTGCAATTTGCCGGCCGCCATTTGCCCGTCGGGACGCTCGTGGGCGACGGCACGCGGCAGGAATGAAGACGGACAAGCGAGAGAAACACAGCAAGGTGAGAAAACCCTGTGGTGCCTTATGGCCAGCCGGGCGGCGTGGAGCCGCGGACGAAGAGGGCATCGGGAAATGACGCTTAGGTCTGGCCGTTCAGGTGTTTGCCGCCAGCTGACGTAGGCGACAGCACTGGTGAGCTTTCGTTCTCTTTTTTTTTGGGGGGGGGGGGGCGTCTGCTGTGCTTGGAGCTTATTCCGTGCATTCCGTGAAGAGGACGTCCACGACGTCGATTGGGAAAGGGGAGTGCTCCGAGTATGGCTTTCGGTGGTTCTCTCGGTCACCTGGTTGCGGTACTCGCCAGGTAGTGGTGGACAAAGTAAACAGAGGCCGTGGCGTCATATAATCGGGCGTAATCGCGCCGTGCAGATGTTTACTTCAAACATCCACTGAAAACCGGTACGCCGAGGGCGGCGACGGTAAACCACACGGGCTATCGTAACGTGGGCTGGCTTAGCCGTCGCTACACGAAACCGTGAAAAGAATACGCACGCCAGAAATGGGTCAGATTTATTGCCTCACATAGAATGTACCTCATTTCAAGATATTGAAGTAAACATCAAATATGATGAAATAAGTTCACTTATAGCTACTAAAATGCTTTGAAAGGAAATGTTCCACATTTGAATACACTGAAGCAAACATCAGGTAGATTTGAAGGAACCCATTTCTAGCATTTAATGTGTCGCTAAGCAGGAAATGCCGCTGTAGACAAAAAATTATCTACAAGATAGATACAAATATTTTCTTTAATCCGACACTGTCTCATTGTGTCATGGAACGTCGGTGTGGCGTTGGGGTGCTGCCAAACTAGCTGTACAAAACTGCTACTTTTTGTAGCACTTTAGTTCGTTAAAAGATGACAGCACGGGCTGGAAGTCTTCACTGAGCTAACTGTCGTTATGTGCTTGTGTTTTGGCCCTTTCTCGTGGCATTCTGTCATGCTTATCCGTGGATTTAAGGTGTTTGCTTGGATTCACATGCTCGGCTAATGCGTTATTCTTAAATACAATATTCCACATTCGAAGATGCTGCAGGAGGCATTTGGTATGATGAAATAAGCTCAGTTATAACTATTAGTACATTTTTAGTGGAGCGGACCGCTCTAGATAACACAGTTTCTCTGTTTAGTAAGTATACTTCTCAATACGTAACTGCTAGATTGGGTCATTGTACGTTGCACAACATTGATTAAGAGCCAATTGAGAGCCGTTATATCTGGGAATGGTACTCGCGAACGCGAGACACGAACCCCTCGACATTTATATTTCTTATTGGCACTGATCACCGCATGGCCAAAGGAAAAGTAGGGTTTACGTTGCGTTATTATGACGTCACGGATGCCTGGGTGACCTTGAAAAAGTCTGCGCGAAATAGTCTGGGTATTTTCGCGGGCGTGTGGCTCAGAAGCCAAAAGGATACATTAAGAGATACAAAGACATCTGGTCAACAAAGAGCCACAATGGCCCATCAAAGTTGGCCTATCTCAGGTACCGTTCGCATCCTTAAAACTGATCTGGCCACCTGACCTGCATGAGTTTAGTTATAAATGAGATTTTGAGACCGATGGAAGGAAGATAATATAACCGGTTGAAGGAAGATAATATCACAACTCATATCTCTCAAGCACTGCATTATGTCTCTGTGCTTGGACTGGCCTGTCAAGCCTCTGACGTTCATGGGAATAATTTTGAAATTAGTCATTTCGACTCCCCTTAACTATCTGCATAATCGTCGGTGTGACAACACATTTGTGAATATGCATTCGTTGTGTTGTGTTTATGAGATGTACGTGTTAATGCGCGCGCTTGATTGTGCGTGTTGGTGTGGTTGTGTTATGATGTCACAGACAAAAACACTCTCGACCAATGTTCTTACAGTGGTTGGCGGCAGCTGGCGACTTTTTCGCTTGAACACGCTGTTTAAGGATGAATGTGACCTCAGGGTCACGACAATTGTGGCCTGGGACTTCATGGCCGCTAGAACGCAAACACTATAGCTCCACACAAATAGCATAACTGAACAACTCATTACAACCCAGAGCGTAAAACAAAGCTAGTGAGGACAACACCACATTCAGGAAAGCTACAATGAAAGACACGAAAAGCGTTTTAGCGATAAAGACGACATTCCTGGGAGAAATGCATCGACAACCGTGCTTAATGGAATGTACTGATGTTTGGCAGAATGTCAGCGATCTGCTGCGGCTAGTGCGGACCGCAATCCATGAACCTCCCGGGAAAAAGAAACACTTCCTGCAACAGCTCCGCCGGCTGCTGGCACGGCAAATAGCAGAGTAGCTAGATCACCCGAGCTTCCGCGAACTGGGACCCGCGCCCGGCAGCCGGCGTTAGCAGTACACCGCGTCCGTTGGATTATTCTAAACCGCCATGCATCGGATGTGTCGCCGCATTCAGGGCGGTAACATCGTAGCAAAACCGGGATATGTAGCTTAAGATTGTGTGCTGACAGTAATGAAAAGCATAACCCAAGGCTTTGAAAGATTTAAGCGTTTAAAGACTGTGCTTTCCAGATTATCCAGTTTGGTCCCGTATGATGACGGCTTGGCCTCAATTTTACCCCAAACAGTTAACGCTCCGTTACCGATGGACAAATCCATCATGGCCTTGAATTTGTCCGAAATGCTCCAGTCCCCTTCACTTACATGTGCCTGTTCCGGTGATGTTGTTTTCTCTTGGACTCGAGCGCGTTAATGATTTCGCCGACTGAGTGCTGCCTCTTCCGCTCAATGGCTGACAACGGGTGCGTAGGTCCTATCTCTGCGTCGCTGAAGGTAGACTCTTAGGCCGACATTCTCGTAAATCCCATGCGATGTCACAACAAACTCACGTTCATGTCGCGAGCCGCGCACCACGGACTCGGCTGGCCGCGCCGCGTTGAGCCCGGATCGCCCGGATCCGGATCCGGATCGCCCGGAGCAGCGCGGAGCGGGGCGCCGAGCGTCCGACCGGCCGAGGTCAGCTTAAGGTTGGGATTCGCCGATGTTCTCAGCAGCCCATACCATCGGCATGTATCGGCATCGGCGGCATCGGCATGCTGTCTTCTGTCTGAGTGCGCCTACGCACCATCACCTCCGCCCCGCCCGCAGGCGCCGCTGAGTCCGCCGTCATTGCTCATCAGCGACGATGAGCTGGTGACCATCAGTGTTCGCGACCTGAACCGCCAGCTCAAGATGCGTGGTCTAAACCGGGAGGAGATGGTGCGCATGAAGCAGAGGAGGCGCACGCTCAAGAACCGCGGCTACGCTGCCAGGTGAGCCTGACGTCGGATTGCTTTTTTCTTTTTTTATGTTTAAGTCTGCGCGTTATCACACGATGTGCTCGTTCGGCGCCAGCTCCTGGCGGTGAGATGAGCGCCCAAGGCCACCATGATGTCAACCGGCAGTGAAACCTGATCTTCTCGCGTGAAGTCGGCTGCGCTACTGCGCGCTTCCCCCCCCCCCCCCCCGCCCACCCTCCCTACCAACTCTCACCCAACTCATCCAAACAGCTACACCTAGCGTCTCTAATCAGATGTAGTGTGTGGAAGTGCGGGGAAGCTTAGATAGAGTTTAGGGCTAATGTAGCTTTGCTTGAACTACTTGACGGGGTGGGTAGCAAGAGTGGTGTGTGATACCGAAGTGTGAACATCGCTTATATCGGTGAACACGTGCCAACCAAAAGGAGCGGGAGGAACAGATACCTGGCTGTGTGTTTAAAACGTTTCATACGTTAGATAGGACCGCAGTTCCAGCTGTTAGAAAGTTTCGCCCGTGAGATGGGTGAAGCACAACGTAGGCACGGCACCACGAGTGCTCTGTCAGTGGAAGGGAGACACATATCCCACATACGAGCGGTTCTTTTTTGTTCATTGTGCATTGCTTCCAAATGTTGGTGATTCGTGCACCAGCCATACTTTTGTGCATTGAATGATCATGTCTGCGAAATGAAATAAGAAACGTCAATTGTATCAATTGATATCACTGCACGTTAGCGGAATACATCATCTCGTCAAATCATACATGGAAAAGTTTGGTTGGTTTGTGGAAGTTTGGTTCCAAGCTATTTTGTTAACCATGATAAGTCACAAAGGAGCGTTTAGCTCCTAAGATCCGTCATTATTCACTTTCGCGTACCGACGCCCTAACCTTTGAACATCAACAGAAAACTGACCATGACTGACCTGCACCATTGGAGACTGGACTGTTCCTTGTGCTCGACCGTCGGCGGGTGACCTTGAGTGATGACCTTGAGTGATGACCTCGCCAGCTGCCGCGTGAAGCGGCTGGAGCAGAAGGACGAGCTCGAGACGGAGAAGTCGGCCGAGGAGCGGGAGCGGATACGCGTCATCGACGACAACAAACACATGCGCGAAGAGATCGAGTCATACTATCAGAAGTACGAGGCCATCAGAAAATTCGCGCACCAGAAGAACATTCCGCTGCCTCTTGAGCTCGAACACGACACGCCGAGAATCTGAGGCTGCCGTTGACCTGGTCGACTTGGCCGTGGTCGATGAGGTCAAGCATGTCGAACACTTGGGTACAGTATTGAGCAAGTATTATTGTTTGAGGCCAGATGTCGCGTGCCCACTTTATTTGGTGACAGGGTATGGGTGCTTTCGGATTGATGTGGTTGCGTGAAATTCAGTCTTGGGTCTCAATGAATTGTTTATCATTCCCCAAAGCTCCAAGGTTGTTATTGATCCTGATGTCTTGGCTTGTAAGTTCTTCAATACGAATGGTAATTTTAGGAAAGCAGAATTGGCCTGTGCACTGTAACGCAGTGAGAATAATAAGGTTCTTCCTTCGCGTTTCGCAGTTCAGGTACTTTTCCTGCATCACAAACACACAGCCTAGCAATTTGAGATATTGTCCACCCTAAACCAAGCTCTTCTCTGATAGTCCGCCGCGCTAGTTTGGGCACCGTTTCATGTCATTTCGTTGCCTGTGAAAATATCGTTAGTGACATCGGAAGAATTTTGCCGTCCCACACCGTTGGAATCTTAATCATTGATAAACAAGCGTATTTCTGCGCTGTGCTGCCACCGGCAAATGAATTTATGATGTCCGTATCTACTGTCGAGTTTGAAGTGTTCATGTCCGAATCTATCGTCGAGTTTGAGGTGTTCATTCACTAACGTGCTGTGCTTGCTTGCACTAATAAACTACAAAGGCAGCAACGCTGCCGACTGTATGCGATCATATTGAGCAGCTAACCGTAGTCCCAGACTTTCAACCGACTTCAAGTGGAGCAGACTATCATGAAACCTGTTTTGCACGCTCTCTCTTAACTTACAAGCAAGTCGTTGCTTGCTGTATGCTCCCGGTACACCGGTATTGTCACGATTTTAACCAGCGACCGTCGGCATTTCCATGTGACGTGGAGACCTGAAGAGCCCAGTCATGACTACTTCAAATCACTGGCGGCATCATTGTTTATTACACCCCGTTCTGGGAACAGCTTAGCATTTTGCCGCTTGGCCGAAAGGGGTTCGCGCTGGTGGCGGCAACCGCACGGGGATTAGCCGTGCGGTTGTGGTGGTGCTGGTGTGTCTTGTGGTGATGCTGGTCTTAAAATTAGCAACAAAGAAAGGTCAGTCGCAGGCAGCAGGATCGCCGCGAGGGTGTGGACCAGCATTCCACGAATTCTAAGCCACTTGTCTCGAGTTTCTTTTCAAGGAAATAAGACTGAGTGTCTGGGCGGGATTATGTTTAAAACTCGTAAGCAAAGCACAGACGGATGACAAGCGGAAGGAGTCAACAAGTACATTGCCATTAAGGAGTTTTTTAATTATGCATGTCTCAACGGCCTTTGTGCGTCAAGTGTTGCCGAGAATGCCTCCGTTAGGCGCCATCTGCAAATTGGAATAGGTTAGCTGTGGCGTCTCTGCCACATGGGACTAGCTCATGAACATTTTAAACGCGATGTTGACATCATATCAATCAATATTGGCAATGCAGTTTTGCCCCTGATGAAACAGTCCTAATTGCCGTCCATGAAATCGAAGGAAATGTTCATTGACCACACTTAACGTGGTGAACAGCTGCACAAGCTATTTCATTGACCATTTGAATGCTATTGGTCAAACTCCAACGAACCTCCATCCAGATCTAGGGGACGGAACATTTAACAGCGTTATTTACTGATTCCTGATTTGCAGCTTTTGTAACGCGGAGTGCTAGGGGGTCGATGAACCTTCTGTTGTTTTGAAACCAAAGCCTTGCAGACTATGCGCCCATAGAAAAGGTGTGATGCAGGACGGTCAGCTCATAGTTCAGCTGACGGTTGAGCTTTTGTTGGCTCTGTGTTTAAGGCAGTTTTATCAGCGTTTGTTTTTTTACCCTGGCGTTGCTGGTTGCGTCTAGCATTGTGCAAAAATGAAGTTTAGCTTAGTTGGACGTTTGATGTTTAATGTTTGATGTTTATTTTCGATTATGGACATTAAGCAACACATAATATGATGAGTGGATTGGCGCATAAGTGGAACGCTCAGATCCGAGCGCCTCTCCTAACAATAACGAGATATGGTCATCGCCGCCAGAGAACCCACGTCACACCGCCCACTCGCCCGATCCGTAAGCCGACACGGGCCGGGCGCCCGCCGCCACTCCAGTCCACACATATAGCCGTCTCGGGCCGGCGGCGGACGCCCGGCCCGGCAACGCCACCCAGTAGTCCGTCTGCTGCCCGCGCCCGCTGGGAGTTTTTAGGCGAATCGTTTGGTCTGAAAAAGAGATGTTTGGAAAATTTTTGCTACGTGCTGCCAATTGCGATCCTGTAAGCAGTTACCTGTGAGATAGATACTTAGTTGCTCGTTGTGAGTGAGCTCAGAAAAGTTTGGAATGAAACGATCTGTTTTACGTAGCATTGAAATTCGGATTTCATGATAACGAGAACAGTTAAGTACAAAGTGTTAAGGGTCTTTATATGGATAGCCATATAAGCAAGAGGGACTATATGTAGTTGGATCTTGAATTTCGAACAGGTGGGCATTCAGGTCTGACATTCCCAATCTCAGCCTAGTATTTAGGATGTTTCCATGCCTGGATCCAAAGCTGTGATACACCGGAGGCGCGACCACACCGCAGCGCTGGTACATTTCCTTTCTGAAGGAACGAAAAGACTGGAGAGATGACACCTCAAGCGGCGGCGGCGCCGGGGCGACGCCGACGTTGCCAGGTCAGGAGGAGGGCGGCGCTGAGCAGGGCGGCGGCGGCCAGCAGCGGCGGCATGCGCGACTCCGCCATGATGTCTCGGGCAGCGGTCACCAACGACAGCCCATTAACGGTACACCCAACAACGGCGTCGCAAAATGTGTGGATTGTGAGAACGGTCGCGCAGAGGTCACGCGGTCAGGAGGGCGGGGGTGGGTAGGGCGGAACCTGGTCGGGACAAGGTCTGACAATCTCACGGTGACGTCATTACGATGATGCCCCAGGGCATTCACGCTTTGAAAGTTATTACCAAGGGGGATTCGCAATAATCGTTTTCGGATACTTCTAAGTTGTTCGTTCCCATAAAGTGAGTCTCGAGACTTTGTTAGCATGTTTTCTAGCCATGGCTGGTGTGCCTGTGCCTGGCTACATATTCCAACATTAACACCAGTTCGTATCACTGCACCATGTGTTGCATCATTTCCATCCGATAAGGGTGACTTTTACGAAGATTTTGCATGATGCTCACCCTAATCGTCACGTAACGTTTTGGGCTCACGGTCCAGATACGGCTTCTTCAAATCGTTGACACGTGTAAACGGAGGGTCAGCTCAGTGGAATGGAAATATTCGAGTGTGCAGCCAATGAAAAGGCGACGGCGGTGGTATTCACTACTTTGAAAGACACCAGGAATTATCCCGGCCGGGTGGCCGGAAACACAGATGTAATCTTATTCCGCATCATGTCGGCCACAGCAATGCCTGGATGACTTTTGAGCGCATGGATGAACTCGGAACTCAAACTTTTCAGCAAATGTTGACGGTGTAAATGCCTGGTTTGGACTGTTCCTTCTGCGTATTGCCATATCAAAGCCAAACATTTATTGGTTTGCAATATTGGGCCGATGCAACGACGTACCCAAATTCACAGCACCCGTTTTTGCGATTGATTAATGCACTGATTAGTCTGTTACCAGTTTTAACGTTTTTAGAAAGCTCTGGGAAGCTCAATATGTCAAACAGTGCGGCAAAAAAGCTCGTTTCCATACGATTTCATTAACATGCAATTGGTAGACCACATGTATTCAACGACGAAGAAGCTTGTTAAATTCAACGAGACCTTTTATAGACATTTATTCAGCTCATGCCTTTAGTTCGTCCCACTTCTAGAAAAGAGTAGCAGGGTGTCATCTTTCGAAGCAATACAAAATGAAAGTAACATGACAGTTGAAGCTGGCAAGCCGATTCAACCACAGGACATGACAAATTTCGTAGACATGGTAGGTGATCCATCCTTTATCCGACTCTGATAGCTGCGGCTAGCCATTTTACAAACAGTATAAAAGATCGCCTAGGTGAAGAACAGCAGCAACGTAAACTGGTAATATTTTGGAGCTACAAACAGTTATTGTCTTTTGACATAGTGTTACTCTAAGAATGCTCTAGAACTGTCAATTGATTAAAAAAACATAAAGACATCAGGTCAACAAAGAGCTACAAGGACCAATCGTGGTTGGCTTACCCCATGTTCCGCACACATCCTCGACATTAATCATGTCACCTGACTTGCCTGAATTTAGTGAGTGAGATTTAGTGATAGATGAGTGAGGACAGTGAGATCCTTAGACCGAAAGAACTTGTCCAAACGATTTTTAAATGTTGATTAAAAGGGACTTCCACAACTTAGTGTGGTAGTTCATTATGAGGATTTACTACTCTTTGACTAAATGACGTCTACCCCTCAATAATTATACTCCTACCTTTTGCTAACTGAAACTGCTTTCCTCTATGTCTGCCTGATTACCAGTGCTCCACGTAGATCTACCGCGTCTATCCCTTTCATAATTTTGTAGACCTCTATGCTGCCTTCTCTATATCTTCTTCTTCTCTAGATCTTCTCTAAGATTGCGAAATTTCTGTGGATGCAAACCAAAGGCTCTAAGCCTATCCTTATATTCTAAGCCACCAATCCCATTTATCATCCTAGTTGCCTTTCGCTGTACTCTTTCCTTTTTTAGAAGCACAGTGACCAAGCCTGTACACAATAGTCTAGATGTGGTCTGACATAAACTAAGTACAGCTTTTTGACAGCGTTTATCTTAGTTGCTTAGGTGGATTTAGCATCGCTATTTGCCCTTGATAGGTATGCCCTGCGGCCGGTGGCAGCGGTCGCGCTAAAAGCCAGTTGACATCAGAAGGCAGGACGGACAGTACCGAGCATTGCGACACGTTACGCTTTCGCCACGAAATTCTGCCGTTGATCTGGAATTGCGCGATCGGATGGTGGGTGTCAGGGCTAGCACAACAAGCGCTGCGTACCGTGAGCACTGATCCCAGAAGTTCATCCATTCAAGGGGTTCGGATCAAATTTATAAAAAAACATTCCTACTCTTATAATCGGCATTCATGTTAATAAGCTCCGGCATCAAAACTGCCATGTTCCAGGCAGCCCTACGCGGCTTTTCTTTGTTGTTTGTTGTCTTTAAATCGTTGGAAATTATAACCCCTAAGTTCTCTTCCTCCTCGATCTAGTCCGACTCCAGGCCTCCCACTTTACGGCTAATGCCCTCACTGCCGGAACTTCCAAATGCATCTTATTGCATTTATCATAATTAAAGGACAACTGCCACAGAGAAGACCACTTTACTAGTCTCTCTCAGCCAATTTTCATTTGATCTGCATTTTTGACACCCCTTTCAATTTCATATTGTCCCAAATTCAAGCACCTTACTTTCTAATCATATCTCAATATCATTCACAAAAATGATAAAAAGTAAAGGGCTCAACACCGACCCTTGTGAAACCTCAATCCCTACTAGCTTCCACTGATATTTTGTACCATTAAGCATTATCCTTTGTTCCCTGTTTTACAGCCAAGCCCCTAACCAGCTAAGAATATTTCCCTCAATGCCATGCAATTTTATGAAGTAGAAGAAATGTTGGTGTGGCATTTTATCAAAAGCTTTAAAAAATATAGATAGACAACATATTAAAAACTGCCTTTATACCCTGACTAGTGACATGCTCAACAAAATCCAGA